TATTGATATCAGGAAACTCTCTGTTTTTACACAAGTTGGGAAGTTCGAATTACTAAATGAAGTACAAGCGAAGCTGAAATATCCAAGAACGAACACATACCAAGAATCTCAAAAGTGAATATTCGTGGTGTATTTTAATTCTAATCGGACCGGAAGTAGGAATTTGTTAGTACTCTAAATAACATATTGGTGATCCGCTCCGCTAGGATTGCCCTTAAAATTACAGTTTTGTGTGTGTGTGATTTGCTTAGTTTTCACGTATTAATTCTTCTGTGATTTTTTTGGCTTGGCCGATTTTGTTCATACTTGACAAGGAAGTGTTTTTTTTTTTTGTTTTTTTTTTTGCGAACTTCGTATACGGTGCCCGGTTTTAGTTATAAACCGAAGTTACCTTTACGTTCATGTCCTACCATGGCAAAAGCCGAAAACATGTTGCTTGTTTTTTGAGCGGAGCGGATCGCCGACCAGCCTACCGGATTGTTTTAGTATAAGTTAGTAACAACTTGTCAATAATTATGGGATGATTTGTTAGCATAAGATTGTTATGTGAACTTCGTTCATTAATGGACTACTGCGCAATGATGCAGGGCCTAACTGATTCAGACTTCTATATTGACTATGTCCCGGACTGTTTACTAGTACTTACTTACTTACTTGTCAGTGTCTACCTGTTATATACAGCCCAGTCCACGTCAGAGTAGTAAAAAAAATCAGCAAATGTCAGTTGTCCGTGCCATGAGAGCCGGCCACATAACCAAAAACAATCTGTCAGCCTTCGCCGCCCACAGCATTACGTTTTTACAGGAAATAAAAAGGAAAGTTCCAATTACAGTAAAAAATAGTTTTTTTACACTTTATGGATAAAGCAAATTCCTAATTACATTTTACATTTTTTTAACATACTTGATAATTTGCGTTCAAGAATCAAAATTGGAAATTGCGTACGAATTACGACATTTAAAGTTGAAAATGCTTTTTACGCTTACAAAAAATAAGATCTTTGTACAATTTACGGACGATTAAAATAGCTGATTACATTTTACACCTTGCCCATGTCTACGGATTTACGTTTTTTATTTATTTAAATTACATTATTACGAAAATAAAAACAATTGATTACAGCTTACGAAAATATCCCTTGCCGACCCTCTATTCTAAATTCACCCAAAACAACAACGAACCTGAAACAAAAGTAACCGTCCGATCTAAACGACCTGCGTCTATGAAAATCGAGTCTTATCTCCCTTGCATCTCCGATCGAGTGAAGGTCGGGCCAATCTACCATGATTGTTTGCTTATCATCAATTCAACCAAGGTGTTAGATGGGATGTTTATTAGAGGTGACCGGGAACCAAAATTTGGGAAGTGAATCCCTCTGGCGACGAAAATGGTGATAATAACCAAGCGAGGGAAGGACTTTTTACCTCGTCGATAGCGACCTAATAGATCCCGGGACACGCAGTGATCAGTGAGGCCTCAAATGACACTCACCTTTATGAATTTAGGACGTGAATTCAGTTTTATTACAGACAATCGGGGAACAAACTTTCGTGTTGTAATTCTCTTTGGTGAGAGAATAGTAAAAAATAAATAAACATTTTATTTCCCGTCTTTGTTAGTTGTCGAGCCCAGGAGATTTTATAAACTTATAGTAGTGAAATATGTTGTAATTTTTACCTACCTACTAATTGAATTCTTTCGTTGAAAACATGTTTAGGCAGAAAATTGGGAAACTTTCTTATGGGACATACTTAAATGTTTTATAAATGTAAAGTTACACCAAATATATTGCATTTGTATTAGTTGATTATAGATTCCCGGGGAACAAATATTAGTGCTGTAATTCACGCTGGTGGGGGAATAGGTGACAAAGGTCAAAAACGTTTTTAAAGGTGAATTTAACGACGAACGATTTTGAAACAAATCAATGTTCTGGTTATCTCTGGTGCGATTACAGTCTTTGGAAAAAAACTTGAGGGACTCTAAAACGCAATTTAATGCACATTTCCCAACAAAGGTTTTAATGTTTTAGTTGTCTGTGGTGTGACACTGGTGTGGAAAGCTGTCGAATAAAATGGCGACACCCTTCAAACGCATTGTTATGCTAATTTGATTCCCAGCATGTTACTTGAAAAAGAAATGAAAGATTTCTTGAATTTTCTCGGCGATATCTACGTGAATTTGAACTAAAATGTTATCAGCAAGAATACAAATGTGACAGCCACTTAAACGTAATTGAAGGCAAATGAACACGTCAAGCAAGAGTCGTGGCGTAAAATGGAGGCACATACCATTTTGACTTTTGAGGGGAATGGAAATCAGTTGGTTTGAGGGTGTCACAATAAGCAAGGGAGTAAATCGTTTTTATGCTACGAAAAAAATCAGACCTTGAACGTACTTTTTGGACTTTAGTACAACGTCATTTTTGTTTGATTACCTAACGTTTTTAGGTTCATTTGTTACAAGTTACAGAGCATATACCTAAGCGGCCGTCCCTTGGTAAATAGTGAAGCAAATGCATTTTCGATGTCGAAATCGCGAAACTAACTTTTTTTACGGAAACTGGGAAGTTCGAATTACTAAACGGAGTACAGGACGACGAAGATAAAATATCCAAGAACCAACACATACCAACAATTATATCTCAAAAGTTAATATTCGTGGTGTATTTTAAGTCTAACCGGACCATGAGTGAAAATTTGTTAGTACTCTAAATATAGGTAGTAAACAGTTCTACCATAAACTGTGACACTGTGCTCAGCTTGCGGATCAATGTCAATGTTTCTCAAACTTTGTGCGACAGACACATCCAGAGTTTAAGTAAATCAAATATTACCATTGGCACTCGCATCTCGGGTGATGAAATGACGTGATGTATGGCTTGCGTTAGCGTTATGGTGAAATCATGGCGAAATAGTAAATGGCGAAAACCGGGTTACTATGAAACAAAACCTGGCTTTCTCGATAACCCAGCTGTCGTCATTCATGCACTTACATAATATTTCATTTTATTGACAAAACACCAAATAAAAATAAAAAATGAAAAGTGTGATACGCCGATACCTAGGTTTCCCAGGACACAGTCTGATTAAAATCCGATGTACGGTGTGGGCTCCATTCTTCTATTTTTAAATTTAAATTAATAATTATACCTACATCAGATTTTAATCAGATTGCCCAGAGCACTGACGGTGATGACTGGCTTTGTCAATGTCATAATGTTACTCTTGTTTTGTGAGCATTTTCATAACAACACCACACATATAATTGTCAATTTGAATTTAACTGCATGATTAGTATTCTATCGATACCACACAACGCTATTGAGCTGGCGATGATTTCAAGCCAAATGATTTCTACCATGAAGATTCGAGTTATCTCACAGGTCATTTGCCTTGCTGTATTGCTGGGACCTCCCAGAAACCCTAAAAATCCTCTGAACTCAAGAAAAAAATAGTGCGACAGTGAAATGAAAATCATCTATATATATATTTCATTTCTGTTTGTTAGCATTGTATGTATTATTTTATACGAGAAGCAGGAATATTACCTCACACCTCTGCACACTAATTTTTTAAATTCTCAAACGAGAATCAACGACGATTAATGTCTTCTCATAATTAAAGAAAACAAGGCATAACGAAAATAATCAGAGATTTGAACTTGTCTAAAGTGTCCGCGGCAAAAATAAGGTTTTAAGGTGTGTTTCAATTGAACTCGTTTTAAATGAGATATACTGTTGGAGGCGCTGGATTGGACATATTTGGAACGCAATTATGTGAGATTTGACGACAGTAAATAAACAGAGATGTCAACATGATATTAACGTACATAACCACAAGGCATGAGAGGTCCGGGCACTTCTATCAAACGTTCCCTCGACAGGGCGCTATAACATCGAATTCCATGAAATAAGATCTTGTGTATTATTGAGATCACACTGTAACAACCTTATTGAACTCGTGATATAATGTAAATACAATTCAACACAGTAATATCAAAATAACTTTGAACTTTTCAGCTCGAATTTTGTAGCTGGTTTAGTGGGACAATATATAATGACTATTTTATCATTGTTCAATTCAGTACGAAAGAATTGGCAACGAATATCAAGATGCTTTAATCTATGTCGGTGGACAGGATTTCTGGATAATGCAATAGTTTCTTGATTGTCCTCAGCCATTGTCGCAGGATTTTACTCACATCACGTCGATTTCTTCAGCCTCGCAAGATGATAATATATCTGGATATTTCATGTGAAATTTACAGTTATACCCCTCTTTAATATCATACATTAACTCATCATTACTTGCTTCTAAAATCATATCATTTACCCAGACAAATATTACTATCAACATGTCATCAACACGTTTCACATACATACAAGGATTAACCTAATAATGTAATCAGTTACTGTTTTATTTGATGACTTCACCTGCGAAGTCAGTGTGTATACAAAGAAATTACTCTGGGTTTACTTCTACCAGCACAGTGAGCTCGCAGTATTTCAATGCTTTCCTGCTATCATCTATCGCATCTCTCATTATCAAAAAAGACTTTTATCATCTAGGAACTGGATACGATCAGCAAAGGCGTCTTCATTCTTTTTATCATCCGGTTCATCATTCAACAGCAGGGTTTCTTTCAATCACTGCAGTCATGTATCCGAGGAATGTTAACTTCCATTGTTCTATTTAGTTTCATCCCCATCAAATACCAGTCTAATGTATTTTCCAGGTAACTCTCTACTGGACCCATAACCTGTTGGAGTTCCTGGATTAGGCATATTTCGGGGAGGGTGTGGGATTTGATGGCAGTAAATAATGAGAGATGTCAACACGATTTTAACGTATAACCAGAATCCATATCCAAAGTTCGCCCAAGAGAGTGTAACATCAAATTATATGAAATAAAATCCTGCGTAACATTGACAACATACTCTGACACATTCTATTGATGTTTGTCTACAGAAACATTTACTGATAGGACATCTGGTCAAGATGGCAAGGATTCAAGCAATATACATATTATTAGTAATGACAATGTTTGTGTTTGACACATATGCGGTAAGTTGTAACTGTCAAACATCTGAGCGTAAAAACATATCACAGCTTCAAAATCAAAACTAACATATTTAATTATATATATATATTATTTTATTTAGACACGCCCAGAACCTCCCGAAGAGCAACCCAGTCCCGGTACTTTGAAGTCTGATATAAAGTTAACAGATAAACAAGAGGAAGCTAGGAAAGAAATTGTAGTTTCGAAGACAAGTGGCGTGGAAGATAGAAAAGCTCACGCTTCTCTTACAAAGCGTTGGTCAAATGCAAAAGTGCCATATATGATAATGCCTTCAAGTAAGTAAGTATGATGTACATTTCTTCTATACAGCAATTGTCTGTGTTTATTTGCATTCAATGTTTACCGATATGTACAACAAATGTTATCATTACAGGTGCAAATGACGCTACTGTAATACGACAAACACGTATATATTGGGAAAGCAACACCTGTATTAGATTCCCGCTACATAATGTGAACAACCATATTGAACATAGAATAGAATTTCTAAAACTAACAGGGTAAGGACACTGAAATAGAGTCGTTACTTTAGCTAATATTCAACTTTTTTTTCAAAATAATTTTGTTGTGCCGATAACAGTATTGGATACGCTGTAGGTGCAAGTGTTGTTCTTCTTTATTACATGCCTTCATCCCCCCGCCAATCAAACACACTTTAGAATAGGAACATCCGGGGATTTTTGTGGTCCAGTGAGCCATGAACGGACCGTCGGCAATAGCAACTCGAGGTTATTGACGCTGCAGGTCGGCGTCTTCTACACCGAATAATAATATGTATATTCTTCTTTAGCTATTTTTAATAGTTATTTAGGACTACGATTACCAAATATTATCTTCTATATATCTACACCGATGTGACGCAAGGTGTGCCGGGAGTTTGTTCGGAATTTCGAACGTTTCGAAGTCAGTCGTCGGTTGGCACGTATTTTACAAAATTATTAAATCGTGCCATGGGCCTGTTTACTAAATAATGATAAATGAAACTCAGAAAACTTGTAAGAACAAACTGGGCCAAAATTGCGCAAATTTGCAATAAGTTTACGATACTAGTGTCTGGTTCGGAAGGCGTTCCATGCGTGATTGTATCGCGTTAAAGGATGTTCTATTTTCGAATTAGTTGAAACCGGAAATTACGCAAGTACATCGTTATTATGTGTTAGCATTGACGCTGAAGGTCGGCGTCTTCTACACCGATCTGACGCATATCGCGCAAGGTGTGTTCTGTTGTTTCAAAGATTAAATTATGTATGACAATAATATTTCACTCTATAAACAATGTTTCACTAAAATATGTGATTCAAAGGCAACCCAAATTGTAAAAAGCAATATCAAGTTCCGCGTGTAAACACTGTTGTAAAGAGGCGGCGGAGCGGAATTTTAGCCAAAATCGGCTAGTAAGGCGTCATATGACACAGGTTTGTGCTTTCGCTGGTTCCCGGCGTCCTTTGCGAATGGTAGTCTTGTGGCTTGGTACGCCATGACACTTGAGGCGGGAACCAGCCAAGTTTGTGCTGGGACAGCGCTTCCGGTGACGACACAACGATGTGTTAGTTTATGTTGTTTCGAAGATTGGATTATTAATGACATTAATATTTCGCTCATTGAACAATATTTCACTAAAATACGTGATTAAAAAGCAACTTAAATTGGAAAAAATATTATCAAGTTCCGTGTATAAACACTAGTGTTAAGAGGCGACGGAGCGCTTTTTTAGCCAAAATCGGCTAGTAAGGCGTCATATCGAACTCCGCACAGTTCGATGCGCGTTACTTATCATCAACACTGCACAAAGCAGCTTTGCATAGAACTCATTTGCATAATCGAATATGTTCAAACTGCAAGTCCCTGTCGGTTAACAAAGTTATGCGTGAGTCACTCGTTACTTCAATCACATTAATAGGACGTTTCACGCCATGGCTCCGAATAAATGTTCCTTTAATTGGATTAAAATATACATGAATTGCGTTAGAAAAGTGCAATCCTTTCCCAGATGAGAAAGCATTAGATTGTACAATAAATGACTAACTTTATAAATTTACAAGAACCTTTGTGTTCTATGGCAGTTAGACGCGGAAAATCGAACCCGTTCAAGCCAGAAATAGTATTGAAATATTCCGTTGAGTGGAAACCCCGGAAAACACTAAACCAGTTGAAAAAGACTAAACCTGTTGAAAAA